CTTTGCAATCTTGGTTCTTCAGTCACGTGCTATTGTGCTCTTTAAAAGACTGATAAACATCTTGGTGCATGTAAGCCTTTAGGGAAGTGGAAGGACATCAGGGGCTGCTGCATATGTACCTCTCTGCTGTACCAAGTAAGACTGGCAAAGGAAACAGGACCACCAAGCCACATCCCATCACTGGAGACCTCCCCTGGCCTGCACTCATCTTGGGCCTCCCTGTCCTCTCCATGTGCTACTGGGGTGCTGATCAGGTAATTAGCGATGCTGTCACTGAACTGACTGCCCTTGGGAACTGGTGGTCCTTGGTGCATTCCAGGCCTGCCACTGTCTGAATCCAAAGGCAACTCTCTGTTGTCAAGTTTCCCTTCCATTTTTACTTATTGCCTAAATAACTTCATAAGAAATCCTGTATTTAAAAGCGGTTTCTCCCACAATCCCACATAGAACACAGGAACTATTTTCCTTTCTTTTTTCTATCATTGTCTAAAAACATTTTTTTTTTAACAAAGTAAGATCCAGCTTGGTTGACTGTATCTAATTTTTAATCTATTAAATGGGAAAATATTTTTAAAGTCTTAAAACATCAAGTGTTGGCTGGGGCAGTTAGGAAACATGTTCTCATACATGGCTGAGAATGTAAGCTGTCATTGTCACTTTGGAGAATAATTTGTGGTGTCTCAACAAAGCTGGGCTTATTCCAAGGATGCAAGATTGAATTAGTGTTTAAAACCAAGGCAGTATAATTCAACATCAACAGAGAAAAGGAGAAATACAATGTAATCCTCTCAGTAGAGGTAGAAAAAGATACTTGATACAGTTAAAAAACCATTCGTGATAAACAATCTTAGCAAACCAAGACTAGAAGGAAACTTTGTTACTCTGACAAAGGGTAGCTACAAAAAACTGACATTAAATATTTAGTGCTGAAATACTCAGAGCTCTCCCACTAAGACTGGGGATGGGGGAAGAAGGCCTGATGCCTCCACTTCAACTCAAAGCTGCTCTGAAGATCCTGACCAGTGTAACAAGGCAAGAAAAAGAAACAAAGTTGAAAGTTGGGAAAGGAAGAAAACAATAGGTCCTTTCTTGACCTGGTACTTGCTCACCAGCGTGTGTTCATTTTGTGATATTTCATCTGTCTTTGCACTGTGATTTGTGCACTTTTCAGTAAAACACTTATTACAAATACAAAGTGAAAAAGTGAATTGATCTCATTCATTGACATGGAAATCTATGATCCGGTACCAGTGGTTAAAAAAAAAAAAAAAGGCTGTAACATGTTATGATTCTATTAAATCCATACATATTATACATTTTAAAAAGTTTATATATGGGAAGAATATCTTTGGAAGGATATACACAAAAATATTTAATATTAGTTGTCTCTGGGGAGTGGAAGTGAGAAACCGAAGGTGACCAGTACTTCTTTGGGTCCCCTTTTGTTTACTGAAAATTAAAACTAAAAATTCTGTGTGCATGGGTTCCCACAGTGACTTATTTGAAGAACGACATTCACTTTGGTGTGTAAGATGCGGTATATTTTTAAAAGAAAAAACTATTTCCTTACTTTATAAGAGTTTACTTATCAAAAAGAACTAACCTGAATACCCAAATTTAAAATTAAATTTCTAAGTAAAGAATATACACTTATTTAGAGGTATAATTGCTAATATTAAATAGTATATTCCACCAGCTCCTGAAGTTTATTTTATTTGGATGCCATTATCAAGAATTAAGATGGACTTGGCCAGTCTTTTTTTAATGTTAATATTTATCACTAGTGCACAACTAAACACAATGGCTTACTGTGTTTTATACTTGATCGTTGGGACACTCATATTAGTCATTGCTTCCCAGTGCATTTTAAAATGGTCCATTTCCGGGGGGGCTGTGCCTGAGATGTATTTTATGTCCCAGCAACACAGCACTGAGCATGGCATGCCAATGCTTACCAAATGGTACAACCGAAGACTGGGTGATTCTGTTTATCTGTTCTTACTCCGAGAGGCTCAACAACACGCTCTATGGAAGCATAATCCTTCAGTTGCACTCATATATCCTTTCAGTAATTTTTCACTCCCTCAGCCAAGAGCTTCTCCATCTGGGTTTCTGCAAGACCAATTTCGAACCCATGGAGCAATGATTGGTAACACCAACCCCACTAAGCTCACACCCCCAGCTGCGGAAGCAAACTTCATCTTATGGCGAGTCTACTTCACCACTACCGGCAGTGTAGCATGTTAGGTTATAGGTTGGTCTTCGGTGTCAGAGAGATCCAGCTCTTGGTGTGTCTTGTGAATAATTTACTTAACTGAGACTCACATTCTTCATCTGTGTAATGAATATAAGCGAACTAATTATGCCTCAAAGCAATTGTGATGCTTCAAGGAGGCAACATGGAGAAGTGCCCATATAGTATCCAATTCTCCATTTATATCAATTATCCTTTTGATTCTTATAACTTAAGCAGCTGCTTATTAAGTACAGTCATATGTGGCATAATGACATTTTTTGGTCAATGACAGACTGCATATATGACGGTAGTCCCATAAGATTATAAGAAAGCTGAAAATGTCCTTTTCTGTTGTCAAGTTTCCCTTCCATTTTTACTTATTGCCTAAATAACTTCATAAGAAATCCTGTATTTAAAAGCGGTTTCTCCCACAATCCCACAT